AAATATTTAGATGGAAATTTGCATATACTGCTATTCTAAATGAACATGTTCGACCACGTTTAACAGCATTTAAATGGGAAGTTATTAAAGAAAATCTGAATAGATATAAAGAATATCGTGAAGTTTATTTACAAGAACTAAATCATCATAAAAATGAAAAACGTGCTCAAGTTTGATTTTGATCTTTTTTTGTTTTTTTATTTTTCTATTTTACTTATTATTTAAAGGAATTAGAAAAACAAATTGATCTTTTTAATCTAATTTATATTCGTCGAACTGCACAAATTCAAGTTAATATTCAATTATTTTCATTTAAAATAAATCTTTTATGTTTAATTTAGTATGCTAAGAAAAAGATTGAAGAAAAAGATTTTTCTTGGTGGGATAAATTAGTCAATTGGTGGAATTCAAATCCAAATCAAGATAATACAGGTTTTATTAAGTGGACTCCCTCAGAAACCAACTTTGTTATTTTTCGTCTGATTTCACCCAAATTTTTTGAAGGATATTAGTCGAGGATACGATAGACAATTTATTGGTCAAAAGTACCCTGTACGCGGGCAAGGTTTTCACAATAAGGATACGAGCTAATACGCTTGGGCGGTTTTTAAGTTGTAGAGTGCCCTTAGGGCTAGGTCGTGACAGGATTCGATTTTTGAATTTTTCTTTCTTTATTTTATAAAAATTCTTGAATTGATGATCAAAAAAATTTGAGAAAAACGAAAATTAAGTTTTTAAAAACCTTACTTTTTCAATATGAAAGTTCAGAAAAATCTATGCAATATCCTTAAATCTCATCATGAAATCAATCAACTTTATTGCATTCGAGAGTAAACATATATTAAACAAATTTTATCTTTATTTTTTTTTTATTTAAGAATTTAAATTTACTGATTCATTATCAACGGAAGAAAAAATAAAATTATATCAAGCAATTGGTTATAAAGATGATCAATCTTCGCAACAATTAGATTATCCAGAAGAGGTTTAGAAAAACTTCATCTTTTATTTATATAAATAAATATTTTTTTTTGTTTTAGTATATTGATATTGATATTTCATTGAAATTAAATCTTATTGAAATAAATGTTTGGTCTTTAATCCATCAAAATGATTTACAGTAAGACATCAGATCTCATTGTTAAACTGGAATCAATTTTACTGAGACTATCAATAGGATCACTGAAAATCGAGTCAATGGGAATGAGAGATGTTTATAGGGTCGTAGCAGCTTTCTCTGGAAGTACATTACAATACTGTATGATTTTGTAGAGGATTTTAGTGTTCACAAATGTAACATCATAAGACTTGGTGAATCTAATGGGTTAGTAAGAAGAATACTAATCCAGTATCTCGATGACAACTAAAAAACAGAATCGCTTCCACATATCTCGAATTAAAATATATAAAAAAATATTTCGTTATTATTTTGTTTTATAGAAGTTCATTTAGTTTATCTGACAATGGAGGTGTTTCTATTGATAATTATAAAAATGGGACATGTTCGGCTTAATTGAAAGCTTTCACTCTCCCAAACTATTAAATTTAAAATATTAGCAGCTATTTGCGTGTACGAATCGAGATATTCAAATTTTAAGGTATTTACAGCATATGCATGATAGTCACAATGAAAAATTTCAGAAGAACTTTTACTTATTTATTTTCTTGCTCATTGGATAGAGTTTGTCAAGTTACGTTAGAAACTGTATGTTTTATAATTTAGAAAAAGATTTAAACATAATTTTACGAAGATCAGAATTTCGTCTTTATTTCCTCTTATATTTATGAATAATGATAACTTAGACCTTTTTGTCCAATAAAATTATTTAAAATCTCTTTTTAAAATATAAAACACATATTTTCTAATGTAAATCGACGAACTCTATCCAACGCGCAAGAAAACAAATCAGTAGAAGTTCTTCTGAAATTTTTCATTGTGACTATCGTGCATAGACTGTAAATACCTTAAAATTTGAATATCTTGGTTCGCGCGCGCCAACATTTACAGTTTGTTAGTTTGGCAGTGAGAGCTTTCATTTAATCCGAATATGGATGATAAAATCTATATCATATAGAAGTTTTTTATCAATTCTAATGTGTTGAATTTATACTTTTTTCTTCTACTTAACCTATGAACACATATTCTCTACATTCAATATCGAACAAATCACCAGTGGGACTGTTAAAAGGCATTATTATTCCTACTAGAGATGCTTATGTCTGTACCACCCCTATAATGGACACTTGATTCCCTTGTTCATTACGGCAGGATAATAGAAGAATTCCGATGTCGATGTGTATGTCTGTTTATAATCGAATCTACAGAATGCTGCGAAGTATTCAATCCATTAACTTAGTGCAAGAATTTTCCATGGAGTACTATGAAAACTGGATGAGTATCTGAGTAGGTACGTACTAAGTACCCATGTACTGAGTCATTTCACAGCAGGGTACCCGACCAAGATTCTGTGACATACTGGTAGCAGGGTAACTTTTCGCGTACTCTGATGGAAACTAGCTCTGTACACGGGTACCCTGAACTGAGTACATTCACTAGGGTCGTCTGTTGCTTACACAATCTATCAATAAAAAATCATTTTTGATTAGAAAACAAAATACAATAAAACATATCCTTTTTTGAAGAAATGCGTTTTGCCACAAGACGACGATGCTACCGTCGCGGCATCTTATTTTAAAAAACGTTGCAAAATTGCATCGATTTCCACAGAATTTCACTGTCTACAGTAGTGAACTATGGAATCAAACGGTTTGACTCTAAGAAGCTTTTTTTGCACAGTTCATCGACATCTTGATTATTGTAGTCCTTAGGACTATTAAGAGATGAATAAGTATAATCTTGAATGATATTGATAATATAATCATAGTAATCTTATCATTTTCGTGACTACGATAAACATCTAATTTCAATGAAAAAGATTTATTAAATTTTAGTATGAAAGTAATCTCTCGTCTTTCAATATCAAATGGTCTATTAGAATTTCAACGTCGTCCAGCGCGAGATGATATTCAGTATTATAAATTTTCAATTTAATATCGAAATAAAAATTAAATCTTGTTTTTTTCTTTGTTTTAAAGATTAGTTATTGATTTGAATTCATTAGAAATGTCTGGAATTGATTCAGAATTAAATAATAATGAAAATGAATTGAACTTATCTCGTCCTATTTTAATTCAATCATTTAATCAAACAAATAATCTTCTTCATATTGAATTTGAAACAAATCCATTAAATAGTAAATCTGATTATCGTATTCAAGCTAAATCGCAGCCATTACAAATTAATTATCATGCAGTACGAATTTTTCTTATTTTTTAGAGATTTTTTATTATTTTTGAATGATTTTTTATTTTAGATGACGATTAATACATTAATTGAATGTTTTTTACCGGATAGACATCATGATTTAGAAGGGTAAATTTAATTTATTTTTAATTAAAAATATTGTTTTTTTTTTTTTTTTGTTATAAAATAGAATAAAAGAAGCAGCTTATTCAATCTATACAGATATAAAACATCGCACACAATTTTTAGTTAGTGAAAATCTTAAAAAAATAAAAGATTTAGATATTGATATTGATTTACAATCTATTTATTTCATTGTACCAGAATCTGGATTTTATCAATCGTAAGATTTTTCATTTACTTTTTTTTTTTTATCATACAAATTATTATTTTGTTATATATTTAGATCTTCATCAGTTATTTGTTTGGATTTAGGTCATCTTACGTTTAAAAATGGTGAAAAAAATATTCAAAATTCTGAAAAAGATGTTTTTTATGATGCTAAAGTATTTTGTCTTTTTTTATAAATAAAATAAAATAAATATTTATTATTTTTTTTTCAGAGTGATCAAGATGATTTAATTTATGTTCCTTTAAAAATTCAATTAGAAAATGTTCAATTACTTTATCTTACACAAAGTATGGATTTTTTTTTCATTTAAAAGATTTTTTTAAAAGAATATTTTAAGATGAAAATTGGATTGATGTACGTTTACAAGAAGATTCACCATCACATTTAATTAAACCAATTACATTAACATTAGATCTGGAAAAATTAATTCACATCGAAAATAATAAATTACCTATGTATGATACTTTTGCCATATTTCAGATTCGTTTAATTATAACAAAAAAATTTTTTTTTATTCTTTTTATGAGAAAATCTTCGAATAGATGATATTTCAATAGGAGAACATCTCGGAGATTAGCTTCATTTCCTAGGAGAAAATTTTGATTATCCATAGGATCTACTCAAAGATTAAGTTCGATTTAACTACTTCAGAATAGAATTACTTTTGAAAAAGAAAAACTAAGTTTTAGAAACTTTGACAGTATAGATCTGTTAAAAACAAGAACAATAAGAACCAGGCGAAAACGACGTACTACCGTACATGGAATGTAATATGAAATGCGCTTGAAAAAAAAAGCAAGTAAAATTGAAATAGTGCGGAAGATAGATAGGGTAATCCAATAGGTGAGATGTTGGAATGTTTCCTTCATCTATCGAAGGATTAAACGTTCAAATGAACGAGAAGAAAGAAATGTGTATTTTGTCATTTCCATTTTGTGTATCGAAAGAAGTAAATAGATTTTTCTTTCGTATTTGACTGCAGTGGTTCGTTGATGTGATTACATTCAAACGTCGTATTAATACTTCATTGCTGTCCGATGTTGATAGATAATTCTACAATATTAACAAACGAATCCTTAACTATGATTATTGTGAAATTTAAAAGCAACATTAAAGATGTTGCAAACTGATGCTTTATGTACAAATTATTGTATTCTCTGGACTAGAGTCTGTCGAGTTGAAAAATTTTGAACTTAGATCCGAATCCGATGCGCGTTCATAATATTTTTAATGAAACTTTTTAATTCTGACTTAATAATTGTGCCGAAGATAGATACTTTTTTCAATTATTAATATTCAGAAACTAGTACGTCCTATACATTTCTCAGAGATTTTCAATGGTAATCTTATAAGATTGAAATCATAATTGGCTATTTGTTTTAGAATAGTAACTAACAGAGCAGGTCCGAACTCGGTCGATAGAAAATTTTCGGACTCCATCGATCCGGATCTTTTCGATGGAGTCTACTCTGAACTTCCGGAGTGCATGGAGTCCAGAGAGTATCAGGAATAGGTCGTTTCTTCCCTTGATAAGGTCACACTATAGATGTTTGTGTAGCATTATATCGACAGTGACAGATTCATCGCCAGTATTACATAGAAATCCTAGTAGTATCATAAGAAACTTACTTAAGAAGGTTACGAACCAATCCAGAAACATTACTTATAAGGGGATGATCGAAAAGTTTTTGGAGAGAATTTTTGTTCACTTTTGATCAGCTAGAAAGGATTTCCGACGAGCCAAAATCTATGAGTTAGAAGCAGGATTTTGTGCTCTTTTTGGATATGGACTCAGAAATTTTGTCTCAATTTTTGTTCGAGAATAATGAAATAATTTTTGAAAAGGTCAAAAACTTAGTGTGGACGAAACTTGTAAGCCGAAGTTTCTGACAAAAATATTTGTCCGTTTTGGTCTGCTTGAAAGTAATATATGCTTAGAAAGCCTGAAAAATTATTTATTCTATAAATCTCTATCGGTCGTTTTGAAGAGCAAACACTTCTCAACAAAAATTCAGACAAAATTTCTAAGTTCATATCCGAAAAGAGAACAAAAAACTTTTCAATCGTCCGTTATATAGGCTTTTAGTCGTTGAAGAATTAATAAAATAATGAAAATATGTAAAAAAATATTCTTGATATTTAATTATGATAAATGATAAGTTTTGATTTAGTTGGAAAGCAAATGGAGAAATTCATTTAATTGAATCGAATATATCCGATAGACGTTTAATTGGATGTTTTAATTTAATTGAATCAATACCATTTCCTCAATCAACTGAAAAAAGTGATCAAGATCAATATAAAGTTTGTTAAAAATAATTATTTAAATTATTTAAATTTGTTAATTTAATTAGAAATCTTTATCAAAAAATAAAAAACATCAAACAACAACAAAACAACATTATGATCAAATTGAATCGATGACACCTATAAAAAAAATTCTTCTTGAACAAGAACAAGAACAAGATCAACAAAAACAAATTGAAATTAAATCAGGAGAACAAACAATACAACTTTCAATTGATTTTCAAATTCGAAAAGTATATTTACTTTGAATTAATCAAAAGTTCTGCTCATGATATTTGAAATTTTACAAAACATTTACAATTAAGGTGTTTTTGTTGGATATTAATAAGATTAGATATATTCGGATCAAATTAAAGTTCTCATCGACAAACTAACAAATTGAAACTATAAGCAGTTCTTGGCATATTCAAACGGAGATATTTACAATCTATGTAAAAGTCTTCACAATTGAAAATTTGAATAGAATTTATTTTGTTTTTTCTTGTCGGTTGGATAGAACTCGTCGAATTTTATAAATTTAGTTTTATTTTTGTTATTCGAAACACTTTTCTAATACGACTCGATGAGTTTTATCCAACTGTCAAGAAAAAAA